TGAGATAAGAACAGTTTAATAATTGAAATAAAGTAAAATAGTAATGCTAATAGTAACAGTATAATAATGATAATAATAATAATGATACACAAAGCAAGTGATGCACAATGCAATTGCTCACCACCCGCCGACCGATACCCAGACAGTTCCCGAGCAGCGATCGCTGCCCCCTGGCCGCCCCCCCCCAGTTCATATACTGAGCATGACGTCATATGCCATGGAATAGCCCTTTGGTCAGTTTGGATCAACTATTCTGGCTGTGCCCCCTCCCAGTTTCTTGTGCGCCTGGCAGAGCATGGGAAGCTGAAAAAGTCCTTGACTGGCATAAGCAGTACTCAGCAACAACTAAAAACATCAGCGTGTTATCAACATTCTTCTCATACTAAATCCAAAACACAGCACTATGCCTGCTGCTAGGAAGAAAATTAACTCTATCCCAGCCGAAACCAGGACACCCTGCATGGAGGACAGTTTAGTCCCATTCTCCAGCAGTTATCCCCTAAAAGACAGTGGCCAAAGTAGCAATAGCACAACACAGGTCTGAAAATGGCTGGTACTGGCCTGTAGGGAATGGACTAAATGTTGGGTTCCTGCTCTCCCTCAAAGAAACTAGTTGTGACACAAAGGCGATGTAACACAGTGGCAATGACACCGTAGTCTGCATGACACACCTTCTTCTGATAAGGCCCCTCCATTCCTGCAAATCATATTGGGAGTGTACTTACACTACCACTCCTGCAGATTTCCCCAGGTGTGTTAGTCAGAAAAGTTAGGTGATGTACAGTTCATTTCATATTTCACCTGATCCTATTAAGCTCCTTATTAGACAGAGGAGGAGAATGAGATGAAGCGAGTGTGACCACATTGACAGGCAAATTAGTTTTCCAGCAAATGGTACTACTACGTATTTCTTTGTTCTGTAATATGTGAAGGAGACCAGGAGAGACAGATATGATAAACGAAAGTCGGCCCAAGTGTAAACAGCTGGAAATGGATTTCCATGAAGCATGTCATGCTGTGACTGAAGCAGGTTCATGTCATTGGGTTGTACATCTGCAGCACTCTGAGGGATGTCTGGATGGTGACCAGCCCCTTCCAATCTCCAGCTCTCCACAGATGATGCAGTCATGCCCAGTCACTGACTTAACCAGATACAGAACTGCACCCAAGATTCTAAGATGCTTTCTTCTTGGGTCAGTGCAACAACTTTGTGCCTTGATGCTCTCCTACAACAACTCACTGGCTCACTTTCTCCCTGGAGAGCACTGCAATGAACTGAATCTCATGAGGTTCAACAAGGCTAAGTGCAAGGTCTTGCACCTGGGTTGGGGCAACCCCCGGTATCAATACAGGCTGGGGGATGAAGAGATTGAGAGCAGCCCTGTGGAGAAGGACTTGGGGGTACTGGTGGATGAAAAGCTGGACATGAGCCAACAATGTGCGCTTGCAGCCCAGAAAGCCAACCGTATCCTGGGCTGCATCAAAAGCATCATGGCCAGCCGGTAGAGGGAGGTGATTCTGCCCCTCTGCTCTGCTCTGGTGAGACCCCACCTGGAGTAGTACTGTGTCCAGCTCTGGAGCCCTCAGCACAAGAAGGACATGGACCTGTTGGAGTGGGTCCAGAGGAGGGTCACAAAAATGATCCGAGGGCTGGAGCACCTCTCCTACGAGGACAGGCTGAGAGAGTTGGGGTTGTTCAGCCTGGAGAAGAGAAGGCTGCAGGGAGACCTTACTGAAGACTTTCAGTACTTAGAGGGGGCCTATAGGAAAGATGGGGACAGTCTTTTTAGCAAGGCCTGTTGTGACAGGACAAGGAATAATGGTTTTAAACTAAAGAAGAATAGATTTAGACTGGATATAAGGAAGAAATTTTTTACAATGAGGGTGGTGAAGCACTGGAACAGGTTGCCCAGAGAGGTAGCGGAGGCCCCATCCCCATCTAGTTAAAGCTGTCCCTGCTCACTGCAGGGGGTTCGGCTAGATGACCTCTAAAGGTCCCTTCCAACCCAAAGCATTCTATGATTCTATGGTTCTATGAATCACTTTTAGTCCATAATGACACATCAAGGGCATGCCATGACAGTAAGCAATGCCACACAGCTGTTTATACTACAATAAAGATGAGGCAAATATAAACTCTAGGTGTTACATATGAGATGCTGTTTCTTCAGATATAAAGGTACAATAATATTCAAACATGATATTGTTGTTTGATTTAGATAGCAAGCAGTGTCATTTCTAGAACAGATAAGTAATGTATGTGAAAGGAACTTAAAGCCAAAAGAGTGCAAACTGACAAAGCAAACACCTAGAAAGACGATTGGTAATGCCTGTCTCTGTGTTTGAGATTGGGCATGCACACTGTCCTCTGACACAGTAACTTGCCTCAGAAAAGGCAAGATCGTGTCTAACCTCAGCAGTTGCGGGCTGTGGCTGCACAGTTGCATTGCAGTTGTAAGGTGTAAGACTGTACAAGTGCCATCTGAGCACTTCCTAATGATCACATCAAAGCAGAACAAAAATAAGTCCGGGAAATCAGGAGACAGGTCCAATATTTGAATAAGTGGCAATAGTTTTCTGGGGCACAACCACTGAATTTTCAGGAGCAGGAAACCTACATAGGAATCTGCTCCCCTCCTCTTTTAAGTAGCTCCCATAGAAAGGCTCCGGGCCTCACACTAATCAGAGACAAAGTTATACCAAGTGGCATCCAGACCAACAGCAGGACAAATCTGAGTAAAAGCAGGCCACTTCAGCATCCGGCAGGGTCTGTTTAGCACAAAACATGATTACAATCCAGAGTGTTTATTCATGCTCAAATTGCACAATTCAGTTGTTTATACCCATAGATATCTCCTTGTGCAATATACGTGAGGTTCTGAAGCCCACATTTGGTTCAAAGTCCTCTTTCATAACAGTAAAAAAGAAATTGGTTTATATCTTTATGCTCCAAGTGATCCACAGCCTAATTATTCTGATGCATTTGCTAACAGAAGATTAAGCATAGTTCTGCTGATGCCAGTGATGTTATGCTGCCCCTCAATGAACATAAGCAGAAAGATGAACAGGACCATGATATTTGATAGCAGTGAAGAGGTCATATACCATCATACTTGCTGTATTATGCAGCACACCACACCTCAGTTCTATTAAAATATATAACTAATTAATTCCTGATGCTTTTGGAAATCAAAGCTCAATTAAAAGGTTCAGTTTAGATTGATTTTTAGGCATTCTATCACAAAAGACAGAACAGCAAACACCACGGATCTAGCATGTAAACTGGCAAATTCAAATGACCCCACAACCCAGTCTGTCTTGTTCTTCTATTGTTCCTTGTTGTCTTAAGATTTTAATTTGAACTCTGTGAGCCAAAATAAAAAACCTTTGTTATAAGTTTGTCTAGTGCTTACACAAGAAGGTCATGAGAAAAACTCATAGGCACTCATAGACAGTGATGAACTACTAGTAACACCACTGCTACTGCAGCACTGTGAATGGCTATAAATGTCCTTTTGAAGCAGAGATGGCAGTAGGTTTGGTGGAAGAAGGAGGACTGGGTTTTGAAGACATGCTGGAAATACTAGTCACTCTGGTTAAATGACCCACCCACCTTTTGATGGCAGGCAGATGGTGAATTTTGGGTTGTTTGTCATTCAGTAGGTTCCCCCTTCACACTACCTCTAACCAAAGCCTGCCACTTTCTCTGCTGTCTTTGCTCCAATAAAATGTTCCCTTTATGCTGTTGCAATCCACTTCCCTCTAAAGATCCCATGGGGACTTTTGGTGCTCATCACCGCCTGGTGCATTCCGAATCCTTACCGTGCCCACAAAGCCTTTGTGCAAAAGCAAACAAATGCTGGTGGTGGCCAAAGTGTTTTCCCTTTCCTAAGCAGGCATGCATTTTAGCATTCCTGTCATTACATCATTTTACATCACCTCTGTATCTGGAACTCCCTGAGAGACAAATAAGCAGTTGGCATCATCTCTGGATATTGGCATGATGGGCTTTTGTGTCAATTTTTTGCCAAAAGACATTTCTCCAGCAAGGAGAACTATCAAAAAACCTAATGTGCCGCTAGACATAAACCAAAACGCTTTCCTGCTAGAAATGACATAAGTAATAAGAAAAGAAAGATGACAGAAAATCACTGTACTTACTATGTGTCGTGCTGCAAACACTCCATCAACTATTGCACAACAGAACGCTGCTACCACACCAAAGCTGATAAACACGATGGAGGCTACTAACTGAGAAGAGAAAAACAGATTGAGTAATGTTTTCAATATAATTCTTTAAGTAAAACAGTTATACTAATTTTTCTAGTATTCTTAAACGACGTTTCCCCCTGCTGTAATTCACTTTAGATCAGTGTGGCAGGATGCCAGTCATGCGATAGAAAAAAGGCAGAAATTCTGGATCCTGGGTTGACATACCATCCTCTACCTGAAAAGCATAAGTCTTCCTAGAGGAAATTAGATCAGCTGTAAGAGTTATTAAATTCAATGGTGATTTCTTCTAAATCAACTTATTTAATAAAACAGCAGTGATGTCCACAGGGAGCATGGCAAAATGCTATGTTCCTGTTGGCTCACATCAATCTCTAGAGCTTTACTACAGTGGTAGTAGTTTACACATATGAATAAAGACATTGTAGTAAGTTAATAACTATCCCATGAACTCTCAGAAAGCTTTTATCATCCCAAATAGCTTATGATACCTTATGCCACAACAAAATCAGAGACTCATAGGACTGATACCTCTGGATGGGCTGGGGTGTGCTGCCTTGGCCCCTGCCCTAGTTGGGGTTCCCAGCCTGCTCCTCAGTCTCAGAGTGAGCACGGCAGAGCACAGCAGAGCTCAGTACATATCCCAGCTGCAGCACAGACAGCACACCATCTTTGATAACCTACCAGCCATAGCTTCAGACCTCATTTTACCTCCCAAGCTGCTTCATTCATTAAGAATTATTAATTCTTTATCAATGGGACTGCGGATGGCGCAATGCTAGAGCACTGCTCTAGCACAGATGGTGGCAGTATGGAGAGCTTGGGGGGAAAAGGCTGTGCAGGCTGGGCATGCTGAGCCCCCTGCTAGCTGTGCTCACTTTATCTCTGAGGATGACTACAGCTGCAGCTCTAGCAGCAACTGCAGGGCTAGCACAACCCCAGATATGGCAAGCTTACTGCCCAATTCACTCTGAAAAGAGCAATAGGACTTGGAAAGGCTGAGAATTGGTCTGCGTCTTCATCAGAGACCAGTCAGCGTGCTGTGAGCACACACTCTTGAGATGGCACTGGTTTGTTTTGAGGGCATGTCTGAAGGATGCAGTGCTGTGAGTGAGGTGAGATGAAGTGAGTTCTGAAAGAGAAACCCTGTGTATGCCTGGCAAGACGCTCCCCTTGGCCTCATTAGCCCCAACACTATCAGATGAGGGAGAGATGCTGTCACTCCTTCCTCACACAGATTAGAGGGTTTTGTGACTTTAAGGACTCTGCACCTTGAGTTTGGATAAGTGGGTACCTGCAGGATTTAAGATGAACCTAACGTGCACTCACTGGCTATGTTTTTAATATAATTTAATGTACATCTTCATATCTCTGGCATTTCTGACATGAAGTCACAAGAGGAACCCTTGGAAACATCCTCTATGATAGTTTAATTTTAATTTACAACAGTATTAAGTTATAGTTAATAACTGCAACAGATTAAAAAATTCCCTTGAAAACTGACAGCGTCCTTAACTGATAGAGCACGCGGACCAGGGTTTCAGTTAAGAATTTGGAACCTCTTTGTTATTTATCAGTCATCAGTTGCTCCTTCACAACATGTATTTCAGAAATGCTCAGGTATAGATTACCAAAATTACATCCATACAGTTCATATATCCCTTTTGCCTATACAAAATCCATATTCACATTACCTCACTACTGCTTTCACGTGTGTAAAATTTGTAAGGCATCACAAACCCACTTGAAAAATGGACTCTTTAGCTTATGTTAGGCTAAGAACAGTACAATGTCAATAGTGTCAACAGGGGACACAGCATTGATGACTTCCTAAAAAAAACGCATGTTGGGCAGGTAAGGAATTACAGCCTTATAAACCCATAGCATTGGGCACACAGATCAAAGCAACATGAAACATTTGGAAATAAGAGCTCTCAGGGAATCAGCAAAAAGTACAACTTAAAAGCAGAAGAATCACAGCTTTCAAATGCTTTCTGATACACTCTTAATCTCTCATTAGGTCACGGCTCTTAGACCATGTAATTGGAGGCGAGCCAGCACTGCCACAGGGATTGCCGTGTAATCTGAATCCTCAGCATGGGGAGGAAAGGGGCACACAGAAGTGGCTGAGGCTGACGGCACTGGCTGATCCTGGGAACCTGCCGCATCCCCCCTGCAGCCAGCTCCATCCTGCTGTAAGGAGGCAGAAACCCTAAGAAAGCACTGTTGGCTGCATCGCCCTTCAACCTCCTCTATCCCTCGGCTCCCCAGTACGGCGGGTCACGTCTCGTGAATCTGGTTGTCTAAAGATCTTGGCATGCAACTCATCAGATCAAGAAGGCTGTGGGCTCCTTGTGGAGAGCTATTATCACTGCAGACCAGTGGGCTGGGCTGCCCTCTGGCAGCTGCATTTGCCACAGACCGTGATCTCTTTATTTGAAAAAGCAGCAGTGTTTGAAAGTTCAGACTAAGTCATTATTGTCTGGTACCTCTATCTTGTTTTTCAAGTCATAGCAGTCAATCAAATAATTAGTGGGCTTAGCCAGGTGTTTCCAAATTGCCTGGGCTCAGGATGAATTTACTGGAAGCTGACCTCAAGGTGGCTTTTCATTTCACACATGAGCAACTTATTGATGATCTACAATCACCAAACCAACATTTTACACTCATGGAGATAGCTTAAATCACCTAATGAGTATGCTGGCCTTTCAGTTTCACCATAGAGCTATAAAAGACCGCATATAAAGGTGCACAGTAAATTGTAGTATAGACAGGAGCTATGGAGTTGGCTTTGCACTCCTCCGTCATGTTGGTGAGCATCTACCCATTCAGGGAATTGTGTGCAAGTCAAACGTTGTCAGCCAGAGTCTGCTGTTCTTATCCATGCCTACTAGCAACTACTTCAGTGAGTGGTCTCTCTGAAATGAAGAGGACCATTTCTTAACTGAAGTGATATTTATTACAATGCCGAAGTGGCAGAATGTGACACTAGGGGCTTCTTATGACTTAAATTGACTTCTATATGTATTAGAATTATAAAAGAAGTAATAATACAAGAACAACACAAAGAAATCCTTAAAATAAAATTACAGATTCATATTCTCTCTCAGACCTCCCATTGCTTATTGAGAATGTGAGAAACACATAAACAAAGTACAAAATTAATTACTTCTAAAAATTGCAGCCAAGACAGCCAAATGAAGAGCTGTTGTAAATTCAAAAGCTAATTTTCCTGAGTGGTAGGTGATTGCTGGAGTTGTGAGTTCATGAGCCTAGCACTGTCAAGAAAGAAAAGCAGTGCAGTTCATTGAAACATAGAGAATTTTTGTTGATAGGTAAAAGAAACAGCACTTTCAAAAAAATAAATACTCATCCCTCACATCATCTCATCTCCTTTTTTGTCAGGAAAACTATTCATTCTTTATAACAACATATTTTAACAGTTATTCAAGGAACAGTTTTGCTCTTGCTGTTCCATGGCTCTGCAGCCAGGCTTCTCTACAGCTATTATCAGAACATGTTTACTCCTGGTTCTGGTACAGAATACATAATTTGGTTATTTACAAGGGAACCATGAAGCCAGTTATTAAACAGTGAAAACTGTGCTGTGTGGGCCTAACAATCAAAACCAAAAGCCAGTTGTTTAACAGAGGTGTTTTAGCAAAAGGGAGAGCAAAACAGCAGTTAGAATGAAGGACTTTCGCATATAGTACTAACTGAACAGCTGTTATCTTCAGTCATGTCAAAGAAATATGAAAACACTCAAAAATGCAAAACTAGGGAAAGGCTGGACTGCTGAATTCTTGCATGCTGCCTTCTTTCAGAAGAGGCATGCATTTTATTGCAGAATTTACCTGTCTTAAACAACCTCTTGTCCTTCAGCAGGCATACGGCATCACTGGCTGCACTGTGTCACCCTCCCCTGCAAGCGAGCCTAGTCAAAGCAAAATAGAGCCAGGGGACACCCTGTTGCCACAGAAGCTGGTCACGGACGCTGTTCAGCTGTCAGAAATGCACCTAGCACAGCTACTTGGCAACTAACAGTCTCCCACAGCGATTCCCAGGCATCGTTTTGGAGTTCAGAGTTGGCCACAGACCAGACCCAACGGGGAGTTTGATGCAGCCACCCTGGCTGCAGCCACGCTCTCATGTAACCACCACACCTCAGGTCCCAAGGCACTTTGTGTGCTGAATCGCATGCTGCTGGCACCATGTCCCCCTGGTGTGACACACGGAGACCTACAGCCAACGTTTGCCAGCAGCCACACAGAAAATCACATTGCTCCCCAGCATAAGCACCCGCTTGCTACGGGCTGGTACCTTGCTGGGCTGCTTCCAACATCCCTGTGAAACACCTCTGTGAGGCTTGCTAGGCTGCAGGTCTCTGTTCTCGCACATACCTGGTTTCCTCATGGCTCTAATTTAGCTCTTACCTGCTTCGGTCAAAAAGCACAACTGCTCAGATAGTGACAGTCACTTCTAGCACCAGATGCTGTGCGAGATGCCTCATTCTCTCGATTTAGACTAAGTAGATCTGTGACTTTGGAAAATGCATGGATTTTTGTTTTCAAAATTACCTCAGTATCAGATATATGTCACATTATATCTAACAGACCCACTCTGCTCATGCTAAATGGCTATTTTTGCATTGCACGGCCTCCAATGTCTCCAAGCATTGTGCTGTTCATCAAGTCCCTCTGGGATTTTTTTCCAGGCAGAGTTAGAATCACAATTACCCTCATCAATGTAAATTGAGAAACACTGTCATCCAATACCTTTCACTCCGGAAAGTGAAGGCTTTACAAAAAGCTGTGTAAATGTTATGCCACAGGTTTATAAAGCCCTTTTTATCCCCACACAGGTTCAAGCAAATGTATTTGGAAAAGAAATGCATGTGGCAGTTTGTTGTAGGCTGCCCCTAACATTACATTCCCCAAAATACAGTTTAATTCTGTAGGCCTTTTTACTGGTTTGATTTCCCTGTGCCTCCAAGCTCTGAACATATACAGGCTTAAATAAAT